CACGCACGTATGTGTCACCCCTGCTAGTCACTCGTAAGGATGAACCACGTCTCAGGGATCTACGCCCCTCCCCCTGCCCAGCCAAGTACCCGGCACATGCTCAGTGGTTGGGTACTCATCAGAACAAATCAACAACTCCAATCAACAACTCCGGCTCACGGGACCAAGGGGTTAAGGCCACAAGACAGGCATAAAGGGAGAGACTCAAAGAACCCAGCTCTGCTACCAACCAGCTGCGTGTCCTTGGGCAGGTCGCTGCCCCTTTCTAGCCCTCGCTCCCCCTTCTCTGGGCCTCAACTGCCTCTCTGTCCAGGGAGAGGGTTCCACTTTAAGGGACTCGACCGCACACAAATCGAGTCCCTGAACCCCGACCCCAACTACCTTGGAAAGGGGGAAGAGGTCCCAAAAGCTAAAGGAAGGTGCTAAGTGAGGTTGGACAGAGACAGAAGGCATCCTTGATCTCTCAGGATCATGCAGGCAAGTACCTTCTCTCCCGTGAGAAAACCACCAGCTTCACGGCTTCTGATTTGGGTATCTGGCGCCACCTTGTGGTCACCACCTCTTCCAGAGCAATTCCACACTCTCCACCAAGTATTTACCTACAATGCCCAGACATCTAGGCTCAGCCCAGGAGAGACTATGCTGAGCAAGGAGGCCACAGTCCCTGCCTAACAGTTTATGAGAGTCCGGACCAGCACTTCCAATAGAAATATAATGCAAGCCACAACCACGGAGTCTCCGCCAGGCCCTGTCCTGCTAAGCATCACACCGGCATCATCCCGCTATTCCTCTCCACCCTGTGGGCTGGTGCTGCCGGGGCAGGAGCCCCCTTATGTGCGGTTCCGCTTTCCACAGTTCCAGCTGACCACGGTCAACCATGGTCCCAAACCACTAAACTGAAGTTCCCAGAAATCAACAGCTCGTGAGCTTTAAGTTGTGCGCCATTGGGGGTGGTGCGGGAGGAGGATTTGCCATCCCCAGGTATGACTTGTCGAGCGTTTTGGGTGTGTTAGCTGGCTACTTGGGAGGAAAAAGAGACTCAGGAAAAAGCTTTCACCTTCCCTATTACTGCCTAAAAGAATCTAGATAGAGAACCTGCCTCAGGAAGGGAGTTATAATTACAGATAATGATCTGTATGTTTCATATGAACTAGGTGTCACAGGGAGGAACCCAGGCAGGCCTGTCGGAGCCCAGTCCTCTGTGGGTCCCTTCGTTAAAGGGCCCTGCCAACGCTGGTCTGCCAGCACCCGCCTCTCCATCTGCTTCTCTGTCTCCCAGTGAATTGCCATCCTGCCCTTTGAAGTCCCAAAGCACCACCCTCCCTTTCCCCCCAGGGTAAGGTGGCATCTGAGCTTCCACTGCCCCATGGTCTTATGGGGCCTCTATCTGTACACACGTAAACAAATTGTGTTATTTTCTCCTGTTAGTGTCTCACATCTGTTTGATCATCAGCCCAGCCAGAAACTAAGAGGGGAAATTCCCCCTGCCCCCTAGCACTGTGAGATAGAATCTCACACCAGCCTGTTCTGTCCTGCCTGGGACAGGAACCCTCCCTGGGTGTCTGTGGTACCTCCATCCCTGTGTCCGTGGTGCTCCCGTTCCCTGTGTCCGTGGTACTCCCATCCCCGTGTCCGTGGTATCCCCTCCCCGTGTCCGTGGTGCTCCCACTGTGCCCACTGCCCACCCATTAGTCACTTAGCAGTCACCCTGCTGTCAGATCGACTGTCACAGTATCACAATGCTTATGTTTAAGTAACCCTCGTTTTACTTCATAATGCCCCTTTCACATGACTTTTATTACAATATATTGTTATAATTGTCCCATTGTATTATTGTTGTTCATCTTTTACGGTGCCTAATTCATAAATTAAACGTGTCCTAAGGATGTATGTCCAGGAAAAATTATAGTACATACAGGGTCTTCTCCGTGTTTTCAGGTGTCCACGGGGGGTCACGGAACGTGTCCGCCGTGGGTAAAGGGGGGCTGCTGTGTCTCCCATAGGGAGGAAAAAGCCGAGGCCCCCCAGCCAGTGAGGGGCAGAGCCAGACCCGACCCCAGGTCTGCCAAGTCCAAAGACCGTGTAAGCTCTTCACCACCAGGCTGGCCACCGCCTCTGCACAAATTGGGGATAATAATAGCTCCCACCTCACAGGCGTGTGAGGCGGGATTAAGGGAGCTGAGAGGTGCGAAGCCCTGAGAGCGGTCCCTGGCACAGCCTCAGGGCTCAGCGAGCGCCGGTCGCCGGAGAAGCACCGACGTCTCTGGGTGGCCGCTGCCAGGTCACACTCGAGAATGTTCACAGTGGTCGTCGCTGGTCCCACGGTCACGGGTGATGAGATTTTTAGAGTCTTTCCACCAAGGTCAGGTATTTCTCGTGTATCTCTTTGTTTTTAAATTCTTGCTCACGTGACACCCTCAGTGAGCGGTCATGCTCCGCCAAGCAGGCCCGTGGGGTGTCGGAGTCACCCTCCAGGTTCCCCCAAGGCCTGGCCCCCAGAGACCCCCCGGAAAGGATCAGAGCAGGGGACAGCTCCAAAGAGCCCCCCCGAGCCCAGGCCCCCTAGTCACATGCTTGGCCGCAGCCAGAGCGGGGGTCTCGGGGCGCAGGTCAGTGCCAGGGACCTGCCCAAGCTAAGCCTGCCCTTCGCTGGCATTTCCCAAAAGGCACAAGGAGACGCCTCGGGTCTCTTCCAGGCCCCAGGGGATCGGAGGGGGAAGCGGCCGTGATGCCTGAGACCTCCGGCCCTGAATCCCCCGACAGCTGTGACCACTTCAGCTATTTTAAACCCTTGGCCTCAGGAGACTCCCGCCACACCCACGCAGCCCTGCAGCCCGACACTGCGGTTGCCCCGAGCCAGGGGTGGAGCCCCGAGCACTAGGCAGCAGGTCCAGGCCGGACTGTGAAAGAGAGGGAATCTCATTTTTGAGCTCTCGCTTTGCGCCAGACCCCGCACTGGCGGTTTCCATACATCATCTCATTTGAGGTCATCCTTACATCCATGCCGAGAGATTAGTGGTTCATTCATCCATGGGGGGCTGCGAATGGCAGGGTGAAGTGTCCAAAGGCTCCCCAAAGGCAGGGCTGGGAGTAGGACCTCCTCATCTGCCCATCAAGAGACAACATCCCTCCTCGGCTCTTACCCACTTAGCGCCCCACCGCCCCCGCCCAGCCCACCCCCATGGCCGTGCCAGTTCCTACCCTGGCTCTGCCACTCTCAGGAGCTATGGGCCAGAGATCATTCTTTAATCTTTCTGCAGCTTCCCTTCTTCCTCTGTAATGTGGTGGGGTTGTTGGGGGGTGTAATGATCCCATTCTGATACGGGAAAATTGCTCCCGGAAGAGAGTGTAGCACATAGAAAGAACGCAGTAAGGCTAACTTTCATTCCTCCCTCCTGCCAATCTCCCGGCCTTATCACTCCCCTGCGCCTGCGTGACCTTGCCCGGGCTGGTGCAACATGCAGTGTTCCACCCCGACTCTGGGCCCCCCTTTCCCAGGGGGGTGAAATAAGGCTTCTGTACTCTGTGATTCTCAGGAAAGTGGGAACCCTGGCTTATACCGGGTATCTGCCACATAGTAGGGGCTCAAAAGTAAGTCCTGGCAGAGCAGCGGCCACCGCAGGGGCCTCAAAGTTGGCTCTGAGCTGTACCGGTCTCTTTCCTCTTTAATGAGTGGCTGCTGGCTGGCTGCGTCCTCATTGGATGATGCACTCCACCGCAACCAGGAGCCAATCAGAAGTTACCAACACCTCCCTGGGTCTGATGCCTTTTGGGGCAGAGGTCCCCCCTAGCTCAGACTCAGCTTTCCCCCTTCCCCGCCCACATTCCTCCCAGATCCTGGCCACCCGCGAGCAGCTGGGCTCTTCACCCTTGGGCCACTGGGGTCAAGGGTGTGTCAGCTCTTCGAACTTCTGAGCCTCAACCCTTTAGGGCTCCCACCCCCGCCCCCAGAAGAGCTTCTGGAACATTCCTCACTTCCAACCTGCTCCTTCCCTCTTATAGCCTCTGCCCATTCAACCCCCCACTCCAGTTCCTGTCCCCAGCAGGGACCACTTGCTCGGGCATGGCTGAATTATCTGAACGGGCCCTGGCCTGGCTTCAGAGCTGGAAAGGTCAGGAATAGGGTTGGGGCTGGCTCAGGCCCCACCTGGACGTCGTCCTGCACCTCAGCCCCCAGAAGACACAAACTGATGTCTGCAGTGGCACCCGCCGGCACCCCCCTTTTGCCCAGTGACCCAGGCCAGAACGGTGCCCCCTCACTGTCCCTCCCCTGGAACATCAATATTTCAGCTCACAACCACTGGTCTGATCACCCCCTCCCTCTCCAGCCCATCCCAAAGCCCCAGCTGGGGTCTTCATTGACCCTCTCCAGGGGCACCTCCATTCACAGCAGCCGGAACGGCCCCTTTCACTCCCCCTGACCAGTCCTCTCTGAGGGAAGCCAAGCCGCGGTTCCGGTCGCCCACCCACTTGTGCCTTGGCTTGGCATCGTGGCCCTGTAGGCTGCTGGGTTCCCACTCCCCATTCTCCCTTTGCTGACACCGATCTGATTGGAGGGTGCAGAGGGGTGTCAGGCTGTATCTGGCTTCCTGCCCGTGCTCAGGCAGCTCCCTCTCTCCCCTTCCCTAGTTTGCAAACGCCTCCTTTAAAAAGGCTCAGGTCCCGGACCCCAGGCTGGGTTAGAGCACCCGCTCCCTCTGGGCTCCCACCACCTCCTGTCCTGGAACAGTGCGCATTTGCGTTATCTGCCCCTCAATGCTGGGGGCGCCTGGAGGAGATACTGGTCCTCCGTCCTGGCTCCCGACCGCTGGGAGCCCACTGAAAGTATGTTGAATGAATGAATGAACAAGTCAACCATGGAAAGGCCTCTGCTGAATCGCAATGCAACCAGAGGGCGGCGCTGAAGAGTTGAGGGCGTGGTCGTATTTAAAAGACAGGCCGTCAGCCTACTGCGCGACAGGGCCCGGCAGGCAGCCCCGCCCACGCCCCGCCCACCGGCCCCCGAATAAGGGTGCGTCAGGCAGCGGTCCGCGGGGGTTGCAGCAGGCTCACCTGCCTCAGGTGCTTCCCGCGGACCTGGACGAGCAAGCACTGGCGCTGCGGGAAAGATGCTGCGCGATCGGACGGTGCGGCTGCTGTACGGGAGCCGTGTCAAGGCGGTGTACGTGCTGGGCACGCACCTCTGGATCGACGTCTACAGGTGAGCAGGACCACGGCGTCGAACCGACACACGCCCCAGAAGCGAGGCTGGCTGGAGATCTCCGCCCCAGACATCCCGAGACCCTCCTGGGAGTCGGGGACCCGGACAGCCTTGCTCCAGCCCGAGTTGCCCTTCATCCCGCTCCCAGAAATCAAAGAAGCTCACCCAGAAACCAGACAGCCCCAAGCCTGGTGTCAGCCTCCCCGAAATCCCTGAGACGCCCCCAGACACCCTAACACAGCCCCAGCCCCCTCACCGCCTCTTTCCCAGGCCCCCTCCCCTCCACCCCAGGCTTCCCGCCGCCTAACCCTCTCCCAGGGCAACCTCAGCACCCCTCCTCTTCCCCGCCACCCTCTCCCCTTTCAACTTCCCCACCCTGCCCTCAGACCCGCCATCCTCCCTTATGCTCTCCCCTTCCGCTCAGCCCCTCCTGGTTCACCCCCACCCCCACCCCACCCCCACCTTCGCCCAGCCCCTCACCCCACTCCCAGATCAGCGGAACTCGTCCAGGATTTGCTGGGAAGCCGCCTGGAGGTGGAATCTGGCCCCGGGGGTTGCTCAGGCTCCGGTTTCACCCTGTGGGGGCTGCCGGTGGTTGCCCCATCCGCAGACACTGGCCGTGAGCGCCTTGTCCCCGAATGCCTTCCCTTGACTTCACCCTGGGGTCAGGGAGGGACCTGGCACCACCCAGCTGAGGGCTGAGGGCTGAGGGTGCAGTGCGGAGGTGGGATCTTTGTCTGAAGAGTGCCCCTTATTCAGGACCATTTCTCCACCTTCTGTCCATGCACTTGGTGGGGTGCAGGATTTCTGAGCCAGAGAATGTGGCTGGGGGGATTGAGGTCAGGGCCCCACCACTACCCCCAACCCTCAGGAGGTAGCCAAGTCCAGTTTGGAGATCCACCTCCCTACCGTGCATGGGCCGGGGCAGGGCGGGCCGTGTGGAGGTGTGACTGGTGTGAACGGGGCAGTGGAGAGTCCAGGGTAGGGCCATGCAGCCTTCTAGTCCAGGAATTTGAAATGTTCCCCGTTGACAGATAGGAGGGGTCTGCACTGAGAGGAGGGAGCATGTGGGACTGAGGGGGGACCCGTGCCAATAGCTTTGGGATGGTACCCTTCTCTGTGCGTTGAGCAATGCTGGAAGTGACAGTGTGGCTTCTTGCTCCCAACTCATGGTCACCTGGAGCACCCTGCCTCACTCAGTCCCCTGCCAAACTGTACCCCTGTGTCTTCCCACACTCCCTCCCCAGTCCATTCTCTCTGTCCCCTGCAGTGGCCCTGGCCACACTGCCCAGCCATTCTCCTGCCACCTCCTCAGCGGGCATTGGCCACCGCGAGGATACCATCAAGCCCCAGGCTCCCTCCCCGAGGGCAAAGGGCCGGCCGGCAGGGTCACAGCAGACCAGGAGCCTCTCCACTCATCTGCCCTGGCCTCAGTGTCCCACATGTAAATCCCGGGGGGGGGTTTTCTTAGGGTCATAACACCACAGTGATGTGTGGTCCAGTCCTTGGTGGCCCAGAGAGCTTCCCTTCTTCCCCCACCCTCCCCCTCATCCCGTCCTAAACTGGGCACTGCTAGGGAGCTGGCCAGGAGCCAGGGCGCTCAAGTCTCTAAGCCTCTGCTGTCACCATACCCGCCTGTTTATTCCCTGGGCGCAGCCTGAATAGCTGGCGGGGGGGGAGGGGAGTAATGGAGAGGGGCATCCCCAGGCCCCCTGCCCTCCCTCTGCCCCAGCAGAGAGAGGCCCAGCCCTGCTGGGGGCAGGGAGTGTGGGAGAGTGTCATCTTCCATCTAGCAGGGGGCAGAGATGTGACGAAACCCCTTTGTCCTTTCTCAAGAAACCAGTCACAGCCACAATGACCCACACCCCCCACTTGCACGTCACGTAAGACTCCGTACCACCCCCTGCAAGAAGAAGCGCGGTCTCACCCATCACTGTCCAACCGAAACAACTCGAGCCTCCATCAGAGCCCCGTGTCATTTGCAATTTTCCAGTCGCCATGTTTTTAAGGTTAAAATAAACGGGTGACATTGATTTTAGTCATATCTTTTATTTAACCCAATATATCCAAATTACTCGCATTTCAATTCAGAATCAGTATAACCATTTTTATTGGGTAGTCTACATCCTATTTTTCGTAGTAAGGCTTTGGAATGCAGTGGGCATCTTATACTGGCGTCAGGTCCCCGTGCGGGATGACCGCGGTTCAGACGCTCCTCGACCCCCGCAGCCGGCGGCCCCTGCACTGAACAGCGCAGGCCTGTCTCCTGTCCTCTCTCCGTGGACCCGGAGGTCCTGCTGGCATCCACCCTTTCCTAGGTGAGGGAAGCGAAGCTCAGGGAGGAAGCCGCTGGCCCTACCTCACAGAGGACTCAGGTCCAGCCTCCACTCTGTCCTGCGTGGCCCTAAGGCCAGCAGGTTGAACTGAAGGACCCTCAGCCTGTCCCTTCCACCCTCCACCTGGGCTGTGATCCCACTGCGCTGATCCCAGAGACTCCACCCACCTCCCTCCAACCCTCCACCTCCCACTGTGTCCATCCCTTCCTCAAGACCCCATGGGATGCCCCCCAGAGTCTCTGAAGGGACACCAAGGGACAAGACCTGGTAGGCCCTGGACCCAATTAGTTAGGGACGGGTATCTTGACCCTTCACTCCTTCCGAGTCACAGAGGTGACTAAACGGGCTTCACTCAGCACCCGCTCCCTTTCCCAAGGGCCCTGGCCCCCCTCTCCTGCGATGCATACACGGCTTCCCTCCCCTCCAGACACAGCAGCGGCCTCGCCTTCCTCATCCCCAGCAGACCCCATGCTGGGCCCACACACCTGCTCCCAGCTGGCCTGGCCCTTCGGGGATGGGTGCCCTGACCCAGCCACGTTCTGAGCGCGGGCCTCCTGCAGGCCGTGGGGAGCTGCACAGGAAGGGGAAGTACAGTTTCCTTCTGGAGATTTACGTTGTGATAGTTGCTCAGGACACAAACCGTCCCCTCTACCCTCATGTGTGTTTATCTCGGTCTGGCACATGTGTGTGCCCTGTCCACACAATCTCCGCCGCGGTCTCTTTCCCTGGCAGTCGCTTCTCCCCTGGGACTGGCCTGGGCCCCCACCCGATTCTGGCTGGAAGCTGGCGAGGAGGCTCGAAGTGAGTGGTGACCGAGGTTGGCTTCACCTCCCCTCTGCTGAGGGATGCTGTCCCTTCCCTGGAGCCAGGGACTCCCGTAGAGTTGGGAGAGACTGGAGAAAGGGCAGCCTTGGAGTAAAGTGACAGGGGATCACCCACTGGCCGACTCTCCCACTGACCCACAAACCGGCCGGCCGTAGGGACAGCTGCTCCCTCTGTCCAGGCAGGTGAGAGCTCCCGATGGGGCCGGCATCCCCCCTGACCCTAGCGGAGAGAAGCCAGCACCTGTATCCTGAGGTCTGCAGGCGCTGCAGGGCAGAGGTGATGCGAACAGCGGCCCCTTGCCTCTGCAGAGCAGTGTCCTGGCTACGTCCGACCCCATGATGAGCCCATGAGGCAGGAAGTGGGGGGGATCCCCACCCACTTCCCCAGGAAACTCCAAGACAGGGCTGACCAGCCATTTTTCTCAGCAGGGCCTTGCCCCTCACTCTCTGGCAGAGACGGGAGAGGGTACCAGGGCAGAAGTTCCCAGGCGCTGGCCCAGTAAGATCCTGGGGAAGCCAGGCATGGTGCAGACGTGTCTCGTGTCCCCGTCTCCCTCCCTCGACGCCCTCCCAGACTGTCTCCCTTCGTCTCTCGGTTGGTGTGTGTTTTAGAAAGCATGCTTGGGACAAAGGCCAGGGAGGGTCCACGGCCCAGTCTGAAGCAATGTGGACTTGGGGCGCTATGACCTCCCCTTCCCATCGAGGGCCAGGCCCCACCTCACTGATGTTTCTCCTGCCGACTCCCCTGTACACACTCCTCTCCGGCCCATCGGCTTTGGGACGCTGCTGGCCCTGGAGTGCGCCACGCTCACTCCCACCTCCGTGCCTTTGCCGGTGCTGTCCCCTCCGCCCGCCGCCCCGACCCCCAGACTCCACACGCCTGACATTCACCCACCGAGTCTCAGCCCAAATGTCACCTCCACCAACGTTCCATGGTGCCCCCTCCTGAGCTCCAGGCACTCTCTCCTTCATTAGTGGGTTTTTTTCTACCTAACATTTATTTTTTTTAAAGGTAGGACTTCCTTCCTTTTTTTTAATGATAATGTGGTTTTTTTAGATTTTATTTATTTCTTTTCAGAGAGGGAAGGGAGGGAAAAGGAGAGAGAGAGAGAGAGAGAAACATCAATGTGCGGTTGCTGGGGGTCATGGCCTGCAACCCAGACATGTACCCTGACTGGGAATTGAACCTGCAACACTTTGGTTCGCAGCCCGCGCTCAATCCACTGATCTACGCCAGCTGGGCTACCTAACATTTATTTAATACCTGTTTTGTATCAGGTCGCCTTCTCAGCACCTTGCATATTCATCTCACGTGTATTCAGTGACTTACATGTGTTTTAACCTCACAACAACTTTAATGAGTTAGGCACTATTACTGGCCCCCTTTTGCAGTTGGGGAAACAGAGGTAAGGAAGGTTTGTCCAAGGTGACACAGCTGGCCAATGGTGGCCGCACAGAGCCCAGGCCCCTGACTGCCCTGCCAGCCGGGCTGCCTTTGGGGACTTGTGCATTAGGGGTGTCCTCCTCCGTGTCACTACCTTCCTGTCCCTGTGCCCCTCATCCCTCAAGACAATGAAGGGCTTCTTGGTTGAGTGAATGAGTGAATGACCTGTGGACTGGCATATCAGCGGACTGAGCTCTCTGCCCCCAGCCTCAGGGACAGGCACCATTGGACGGGCCGGCCAGTAGAAGGTCAAGGGCATGTGGCCAGACTTGGCCAGAGCAGCACTTGCTGCTGAGAGAATGCCGGTAGCAGGAATCCAGCCAGGTCAGGTGGTCCCATAAATTAAAATAGCAGCCAGAGCCCTCACCTTTAAAAAGAGGCCCTGCCAGGAGCTGC